ACAAACCGTCCCTGTGCAAAGTTGCTTTCCAGATGAATCTGTTTTAAATGCTGTTGGAGATGGATCAGGACTTTTGATTGGTCTTTGACATGGTAATTCTAGAAGGTTTAGCCCTTGTTCAACAGCAGACTGAAGGTGAGCTATGCCAGTAGCATTTGACTTAAAAGCTACAGTTCACATATTAGGTTAATGTTTTAACAACCATTACAATTTTACCACATACTCTGCTGGTAGCACTCTAGATGGAGTAAGGTAATGTTAAGAAACATGGTAGTCAGTGATCCACAACCAACTTATTGGCTCAAAATACCTTATGTAGTTATAAACTGATACACACCTACTGGCATGCCCCTTTAAATGTCATCATGAATGTTATTTAATGTTATTATTACGGCAGCACGGTGGTTAGCACTGTTACAGGGCTGCCAGCCAACACTGTCTTTAAACAAGCCGCCATTTTATTCCAGCCTGTCATCCCAGTTAGGGCCAGATTAACACTTTGTTGTACCCTGGGCAACAATATTCAAGGGCCCCATCATCACGACCAAAGGATCACCACAATATGGTCACATACAGAATATTTTACTGTAATATGCAGTAAATATACTCAATACTTGAATGCCTGACATCACGTAACCCGCTCAGGGTAACCTTTGACCCACCTCGTGTGGACTGACCAATGAGGAGAGGGTCTTAACTTGAGGCCCTGTCTTCATTGGTCAGTCTGCATGAGACTGACTCTCAACTGATGTTCAAAGTCATAGGCAGCGAAGCGTCTCTGTGCAGCGCAAAAGCCCAGGTGGAGAGTTAGTTGAATATAGGGTGACCATATTTCCATTTCCAAACAAGAGGACAGGGGATCTGTGCCTATGACATCACACTATGGCAACGCCACACAAACCACGTTGGGACCCATTTTTTGTAAGAACTAAATTAATATCAAATTCTGCGAATAAAAGGGCTCCAAAACAATTCATATGTAAATATTTAGCATATTTATTGCAAAATCTAATTTTTCTGCTTTAGTGCTGCAACAAGGTTTTATTAATAATAAATTATTATACCTATTGTTTTACTACAGCAATGGTAAGCTTCCTGTGCACAGATTATTAAGGATGCTTGTTTCAGCTGTGAGATTAGACGATAGGATCAATGAAAAAATAAGTGTTCACACACTCCACGGAAACTTTCAGAGAATCCACAAATAGTGGCTTTCAAATGGTTTTGTTACTTTTTGCAGGTTCAGAAAAGCAGCAGATGAGACAGCGTGTCTGATAATTTAGTTTTCCATCTGATAACATGTCAGCGATGTCTGAGGAGCTTTTATAAACACTGTATAACTAACACTCCTGGAGAGGGTATGAATTACACAGAGGCTTCTGGGGAGCCCAGTTATGGGGGGTGGGGGTGGGCGGGGTCATTTTGCCTTGGCCCCCAAAATGTCTTGAAACGGCCCTGGGTGTGTGACTGAGTTTTGAAGGTGATCTGAATTGTATCAGATGTATAAATATGACATGTGTAGAACTTATTGTTTTGTACAGGTAAAAACGTGTAGTGGAGATAAATCTACCTACATTTTACTTTTCAACACTTTGTTTTGTTTTCTTGTCTTTATTTAACTATTTTCTTGTCCTATCTGCCCGGACAGAGTGAAAAGTGGACATGTCCGGGGAAAACCGGACGTACGGTCACCCTAGTTTAATATAAAGCGGGAGATTACACATAGGCCTACACTATTTTGCTCGTGCCCTTGCTGCCCTGGGCCCTTTAGAGATCGTGCGCCCTGGGCAGAGGTGGAAAGACTACTAAAATTTCCTACTTAATGACGAGTACCAATACTTTGATAATTTTTTACTCAATTACAAGTAAAAGCACTTGCCTAAATTTTTACTCAAGTAAAAGTAAAAAGTATCGTAAACAAAATGTACTCAAAGTAAAAGTTACTTAGTTACATTTTTGTAAGCGTAAAAATGGCTACATCTAAGTAGTGCTAAATCACAATGCCAGTTCACAATGCGCTCGTGTGTGCGCACACACACACACTCAAACCCGCAAGGCTTGAAGGAGGGATTTCTATTCAATCAGTGAGAACAGGACGTGCACATTGACTGGACGAGGTTTTTCTAGGATGGTTAGTTTCAATTGTGATTAACATTATTCTTTATTTTGAGAAAAAAATATATTTTTTAGATGCCATCAGTATGTGAGCTATCTCAATGTTTTCATGACAAAACTCTAACATGAGACTGTGCTCTAACCTGTCACATAACAAGCTAAATGAAAGTCAAATATTTCAGATGGACCGTATGACAGCTGTTAACGTTGGCCCTGCCCTACTTTACCTCTACATTACAGTTCCTTTATCCATGTCCATCCTAGAGCTCCTCTCTGACCTTCATGCTTATTTAGAGTAGCTGATTTTTAAAGTTAGCAGAGTTCATCCTTGGTAGTGGGTTCACTCACTCATTTAACCCTTCACCACTGAAATCAGTTTGTTCATTCCAGTCCTCCTAAATAATCATCCAATCAACCAACTGGAATCCTTAAGGGTCCCGTAACGTCCATCCTGTCAGAACAGGCCTTGGGAGCCCAGGTGTTACTAGAACTAATGGTGTCTCCTCACCAGCGTGAGCCAGTCTGTGAAAGTTGGTCTCCAAACATGAACTTTAAATTAATGCATTCATCTCCTCTTGTAGCACATTAACATGTTTTAAAAGGCATGTATCATGATAAGTTACACCTCCCAGACCAAAGATAAGATAAAACATTATCATAAACACTATTAAGATGTCATTATTTATGAAATATAAGTTATTTTCCTGAGCCATTACTTCAGCCAAGATATAAGATGCATGGATTTGATGAAACCACGCTGTCTCATGCAGTTCTATATGTGTAACACACACACATGCACGCGCGCACACGCAAGCGCGCGCACACACACACACACTGCATTCATCTCCTCTTGTAGCACTTTAACATGTTTTAAAAGGCATGTATCATGATAAGTTACACCTCCCAGACCAAAGATAAGATAAAACATTATCATAGACACTATTAAGACGTCATTATTTATGAAATATAAGTTATTTTCCTGAGCCATTACTTCAGCCAAGATATAAGATGCATTTAATGAAACCACGCTGTCTCAAGCAGTTCTATATGTGTAACACACACACACACACATGCACGCTCGCACATGCACACGCAAGCGCGCGCGCACACACACACACACACACTGCAGCATGTTCGAATCATTTGAATGACTAATTTAACTACACTGAACTGCTTTTGTAATAATTTAATCTCTTATTCTGGACTAAAATAAAGAAACAAGCTGAATCATCACATATCTGTGGCATCAAGAAGCAACTTCTGAGTTCAAACACAGCGATGGAGCACATGTTTACACCTGAACAGTATGAGAATGCTTTAAATCACGGAGGCCTGCAGGTCTTCTGTTTTATGAGCAGAGCGCTGAGAATCCGCTTGTTATGAGCGCTAAACGTTATTTTGCCGCTGCCGTGCGGAGCGGTAGAGAAACACAATTCAAACACGGAACCGAGTCCGGCTACCGAACCGAGCAGAATTCCGATGACGTCACACCGGTGCGCGAAAGTGCGGGTTCCAACCCACAGGAGGAGGGAGAGAGGAGGTAAACAGCAAGTTGATCGACTGAACTTATGTCTTTGAGCAAAAGTGTACACCCACACACCCCCAACGGTTTAGACGTGGCGCTCATGCAGGTGTCTCTTTCCGTTCCGACGCTGCTTCACGTAATATTTGTAATTTATTAAGCCTATAATTTATTTTTACTCAGTAACGGATATGATTTAAAATGTAGCGAATTACAATTCTTTTTTAAAAACTTACTCAAGGAAAAGTAAAAGTACAGCTTTTAAAAACGACTTAAAAAGTATAAATATACAAAAAAGCTACTCAATTACAGTAACGTGAGGAAATGTAATTCGTTACTTTCCACCTCTGGCCCTGGGCAATTGCCCACTTGCCCATATGTTTAATCCGGCCTTGATCCCAGTCACCGAACATTGCTAAACCAGGCCTCCGCAGCTTCCAAAGAATGCTTTCCCTGACAATTACAGCAAAACTAGCGGTCTAATTTACAAGCCTACACAAACACCCCACTGAAATAAATTTGCACACACAGGCTATTAACATGGATTTAGAGCCAGCAGACTAATAGCACAGAAGCTAACTTACAACAGCCAAATCTTATCATGTTTAAACACCGCCAAAAAACAAGCAAATTTGACTCACCTCAACAGAAGACGATGCGCTGCGTTAAATGCAAACAGAGGAACAGAGGTGAAGGAAGCTCTCCAAATATGGTTGAAACCAACTTGGAAAACGAGGGTTAGGGAGAACTCTGAATATACACGAAGTATACTCAAAGCGGGTCTGTAAAAGACTGAAGCGTTTTGGGCGCCTATTTCAGTTAAAGGTTGTCTCAACCAATCAGTGGGGCGGAAGACGGTTTTTGAAACCAAACAACCAATAGAACTCCGGGACTTGACGTCACTTTACTTTTTTCACAATTAGTAACACTACAATCGGTTTCACCTTGTTCAATAAAGTTTTGAAAAAAAAACCACTACAAATCGGAAATCAGCATGTAGAAACGTCTCCCATGGCGTAGGTGCTACTTACCACATCGCCAGATTTACGGTGTTCTTTTTTCCTGTCGAATAAACAATTATAAATTCTGCAGCCATTTTCCTACTGGGATTACCGAGTCCAGGTCGGTGACGTCACTTCCGTGATGCGCATTTGTAGTCCTGGACAAAAAAACCTAACATTACGTTTCCCCCCGTTGAAATATTTGCACTTTCTTGGTATTAAAACGCTTCTTTTAAATTCACGGACATTATATGTGAAATCCATGGAACATAACAAGCGCAGACGCTACTGTTTTTATCGAGTCCGGGTCTGTGACGTCACTTCCGTGATGCGCACCACGTAATCACGTGGGTCCACCATGTTGGACCGCAACAGATTGTAAACAGTACTGGCAAAGGGAACGGTCACATGAATTACCGCAAACGGTCCAAATAAAAGGTTTTCAAGTGCTACGTTTCATCCTACCTCTGTAATTTTGAAGGTAAGTCCAGATAATTGCAGATGTTAATTCTAGCTAAATTCCAGCTAGCCTGAGGTAGCCGCCTGCTAACCACTGCTAACGTGACTTTTTTGTTTTATTTTTTTCTTGAACCAAACCTCCCTGGTTCCGTTTAACCATGTTAATGTGAATGACTGTTTAACGTGTTTGTATTTCTGATTGAAGTCTCGGGCAAAAATGAGGCTAACAAGGTAACTGTGAGGGCTCACTGCTATAAATGAATGAAGAAAACAGATCCGCCACACCAGTTGAGAGTAGGACTTGTTGGGGTTTTACGTTCAAGGTTTTGTTTGGTATTCAAGGTTCTGTTCAGAGCCACGTTCAAAGTTCTGTAGAATATGTTGAAAAGTAAGTTTAACACGAGCTCTACTCTTTTGATGTGAAAAGCATTTGAAAGATGTTGGTAGCTAAATGCAGCTAAGTAGCTGACTGGGAATCATTAGCAGGTTATTTGGCGTATTGTAAACAAACGAGGGTTTGCTTAACAGCTCGAGCTAATGGCCGTGTTCGAGTTGAGCTGCGCCTCACCTGGAAAACAGACGAGAGCAGACAGAAGCAGCAGGGGGAGTGCCTGAAAGCCGGCATTTAAGTCGGACAGATTTCTCTACATGTGTAGCTCGGGGGTGACGATGGCTGAAGATATCCCGTTAGAGTTCATACTTGTTTAATTATTTATTTTAATTCTGGTGCCTGTTAGCAGCTGAAACACATCCTCACGTGCTTGTGGATATCATATATTGTATATGAAGACCTGACTGTAATAATAAGTAAAGGTTATCAGCTGTAGGTTTAGTGTGCTGGTAGGTAACGTGACAAAAGAACACAAAACACATTTCTCTTTATGGCCTAGTTATCATCATCAACATAACATGATTCACAGAATACATGTGACCAACTAATTTTATGTTCATCCAATCTGCGCAGAACTGGCTCATCTCGAACACAGCTTCGAGATGAGCCAGTTCTGCGCAGATTAGACCACCAGTGATCAGCGAGCAGTGCATGCCGGTTAGATTTGTGTCCGACTTGATGCCGACTTGCTCTGATGTCATGCATACATAGGCAACGATATCCTCGTGACATCAAGGCGGCCGCAAATTTTGGAGCAAGGTGCTGCAGTTGCTCTCCACCGGCTGCAAAACCTAGATGATGGGAAACGCCTGGCTCTCACCTGATCTAAGATCTGATTGGTTCATATTTTGATCCAAACATCCGGTGGTAGAACATGAAATGTTAGTTGGTCACATGTATTCTGTGAATCATGTTATGTTGGTGATAACTATATAGGCCATAAAGAGAAATGTGTTTTGTGTTCTATGTCACGTTTCCTATGAGCACACTGAAGCTACAGCTGTTAACCTTTACTTATTATTACAGTCATGTCTCTATATACAATATATGATATCCACAAGCACGTGAGGATGTGTTTCAGCTGCTAACAGGCACCAGAATTACAATAAATAATTAAACAAGTAATAATAATAATGCATTGCACTTACATAGCACTTTTCTGGACACTCAAAGACGCTTTCACACACACTCACATTCACACACTGCCAGGGATGGTAAGCCACTTTGTAGCCACAGCTGCCCTGGGGCAGTCTGACAGAGGCGAGGCTGCCATTTGGCGCCATCAGCCCCTCTGACCACCACCAACACAGGCAAGTTGGGTGAAGTGTCTTGCCCAAGGACACAACAGCAGAATACCCCTGGCGGGAGCTGGAATTGACCCCATGACCCTCCGATCATGGGGCAATCCGCTCTACCTCCTGAGCTACTGCTGCCCCACGTATGAACTGTAACGTGATATCTTCAGCCATCGTTACACCCGAGCTACACGTGTAGGGAAATCTGTCCGACTTAAATGCCGGCTTTCAGCCACTCCCCCGCTGCTTCCATCTGTTCTCGTCTGTTTTCCAGGCGAGACGCAGCTCAACTCTAACACGACCTATGTCATCCACTGCTACACGTCAAAAGCAGAAAAAATGCCCACCTCAGCTAAAGTGAATGTTCTCCCTCAATCTATCCCGTTTTCCTCTTTCTTCAAGTGGTGTAGGACAAATGTTACATGAGACAGTAGCTCAGTGGCTTATGCTTCTGACAGGACAAGGCTGGTTTTGCTCCTGTTGCTTTTACTTAAGACTTGTTTTCAAAATATTACATTTTACTTCTCTGTGTGTATTTCAGATGAGCCAGTTGTACTGGTCGACTCAACAGCAACTGCTCTTGTGTGGCTGGCTGTGGAATCTGCAACCACTTGCTAGCATTGCTGTTCCAGACTGCTCATTATTCTGAATGTGGCATGTCTGTTCTCCCTCCTGTCCTGTCATGCACTCAGACGGAAGTGGCATCAACCACGAACAATGGTTTGTCTCATTCTAAAATCCAACACTTGTATCACTTTTTACAGCCACTTCACTAACAAAATCTGTTTAATAAATAGGGAGTGAAACCTGGACCATGTGGATGCCATGGTTGTCCTGAAGCCCAAACTAGGTGCTACTACAGCCAGTGGAGTTGGGTATGTATCATTTCAATTCAAGTTTATTTATATAGCGTCAAATCATGACAAGACTCGTCTCAAGTCACTTCACATAATATTCCAATACAGGTCAGTTCATTAAGCCAAGCAGAAAAAAAACATTTCCTATATAAAGAACCCAGCAAATTTCATCAAGTCACTGAACAGCAATCCTCATACTAAGCAAGCATGCAGCGACAGTGGAGAGGAAAACTCCCTCTTAACAGGAAGAAACCTCCAGAGGATCCTGGCTTAGTATAAGCATCCATCCGCAGATCAAGAAGACAGAGCACACGCATACACACACGCGCGCACACTCTCTCACACACACACACACACACTCACTCACAAGTAAGTGTGTCTATCATCAAATTTAATTGGCAGAATACAGTGTTTTGTAAAAACATGATTTAACTTAATTCCGGACATTGTCAGTGAATAATATAATTCGGGAAGACAGCAGGAATAATGAATTTTATTTAAAAGTGCCTTTCTAAACACCCAAGTTTACTTCACAAGATAAAACACAATAAAATACCAAACAAATCAGATGGTAAAATAACTAATAAGGAGAAAATTTATAGCTTTTGTTTTTTAAAACAGTTTCAAGCTCAAAACAGGAGACTTGACAGGTGTGATCCTGAAAGTGTGGATGAACTCTGTCACACAGACATGGACCAAACTAAAACAACCCACACATCACTGTGAAGGTCGACAGCTTTGTTTTAAAAGTGATACAGAAAATGAAGCAGTCATGTGACTCAGGCAAACCGAGGCCTCATTTGTGATTGGTCACGTGGTTTTCTGCCAAACGAAGCAATCCTCAAAGCGGAGCTTCGTGGACACACCCCCTTCCTTCTTCATACAAGCCTCGGAGCTTTGCTTCATTTGTCCCATTCCTACTTCAGATGACCACGTGTGGTTCACAATCTATTCTGTTTGTAAACAAACTACACTTTGTAAAAATAAATATGGACTGTTCTGTAATTTCAGATCTACACTTTACAAGTCCTATGGCGGTGAGCTCCCAAACCCAGCCACACTCAATCCTGGACCTGCCTACGCTGGAATGACAGCAGAATCCCTTCCACTCATCTGCACTGGACATTTCAGCTGACAAGCCACTTGTGGACTCCCTCTTTGGGAAGGTACAAGCTGGCAGTGTACTGTCGTATCAACAACCCATACCTCCATCTGACAGTGTTGTCATGTATGAGGATGCACCTCCACTCCCAAGTGTGCCACTAGAACGTTACCATCTGAACCCAACTGAATGTTCATTTGTGCCAACACACCAAGAACAGCTCACTTTCTGTAACCTTGCCACAGTCACACCCTCATTGAAGAGGCAACAAGATGCCAAAGTGCTACACCAGATTGGCATTCGCTCAGGAGAGAAAGAGTGACTGCCTCGCATTTCAGAGAGGTGAGCCATGTAAGAGGCCGTGGGACTGCAGAGAGTTTGGCAGAAAGGATAATTCGAGGGACAAGACAACAGCACACATGAAGAGGGGAATGGTAATGGAAAAGGGCGCCTTAAATGCAGTTCAAAAAATCTGAACCTGACCAAGTGTGGGCTTGTGGTCCATCCAGATACATCTTGGCTGGGTGCGTCTCCTGATGGGCTTGTATATGTCCATCTTTTGGCCTAGTAGAAATTACATGCCCAAATGCACAAAGCTATGCAGACTGCAAATTCCTCAAAGTGACACAAGGCTTACAAAAACTGAAAGAGAGGCTCTGTTATTATTGGCAAGTTCAGGGCCAGTTATTGATGACTGGTATGCAATGGTGTGATTTTGTTATCTGTGCCCATAATGACATCTTTGTGCAACGCATATACAGAGATAGCGTTGTAATGAATGAGATGAAACGAATAACTTAACACTGCACATTAAAAATCTTCTGTATTATTACTGAGAGGAACAGTACCTTTTCTTATTAAAACTTTGTTATGTGTGCAGGATTGATCAACAAGCAAATTAATCAAATGTTTAAATCCAACTAATACATTAGGCCAATATTTCCCCTTTCATTTATCAAACCATTGTTTAAACCTCTCTGCAGTAACCAATCAAATGTTTTGTTTAACAATAATCAGTTCCACACAAGGTGTGCTCCTACACAAACTTACCAACATGTTTAAATGAACAACCACTGGACTGGAACATAATTTTTTTATTTTAAAACCATTCTAATTTTGTAAGTCAGAAAACATTTAAATGAACATAAAAAAAATAAAAAATCAATTACATCCCAACATCCTCCTGGCTGCTCACTTCTTCATATGGCTCCGTGCTGGTTGAGGCATCCTGTTTTTCTAAACATTTAGAAAATGTAAATAAATGCATACTGAATCAGAAAAGCATTCCAAATATTAACAATTACAGCAGTGATTTGAAAAAAACTTACAATCTTCAAATTTGCAATTATTTCAACTATGTAACACAAAGAATTCATTACAAAATTTGACTAAACTCTCGCTTTAGCCAACTTCTACTTCAAACCCCACAGAGACATATCCAACTAGTAAATATACAGAAAATGTGTGTAAAATGTTCACAATACATAAAGTAACAACACCTGAAGCCAAGGTAGGTAGTGATAAAACAATAAACACTGATGATGACATAACAGACTTAATAAATGCATTTAGTCAAAGTTCAATCTTTAAATTCAGCAAATTAAAGTAAAGTACAGATAACACATATCACAAATGCTATTCAAGAGTGTTGTGCTTTTCACATACCACTCCAATTATAAATACATAAGCAAAAATAAGCTAAATCATGCATTCTAACACACTTACCATCGCTACAAAATGCTGCTGTAGATTTCAGTACCTCCAGCTCCTCTTTTAGGCCTTCCTCCCTGTGGCGGCCTTCAGTGACTAATTTGCCCAGAAGCTGAAGCTTTTGCTCCTGGGCTTTTAGTTGTCTCTCTTTTTGAGAGATTATTTTAAGCAGGTTGTGGACGGTATCCGTGCATTGTCGGAATGCCTGCTCCCTCGCGACAGCCGGATCCAAGCAACCATACTGCAAACAAAAAACAAGTGGAAAATTACAACTTTGTGCATATTTTATGAAAAAAGGGACGTTGTACCAATTAATAACTGTGACTTTTCAGAATTTTTAAAATCACATATTTGCCTACGTGAAGTGTATTATTTGTTGTACTTGAAAAATATATTTTAAATCGTATTAGTCTCTGCTAATTTATTATGCTTTACAGAAATTTTATCAAGTAAGCATCAAGGTTTTAACCAATTAGCATTGTTTTATAGATTTCACTTTATATTCCATTTTATAATTCATTTAACTTTTAATTGTTGCATTGCTAATTAGGGTTTCTTCACAGTTTTTTTTTTTTTTTTACAATATTGTTAAATATCAGTGGAAATGACATAAATATTTACCTATACATTCAAATACCACTTTGGGTGAAGCCGACATGTTAAGGGAATTGTAATTATAGCAAGTGCGGGGCACCATCTTGGATGGGTGGTCACTAGTGAAGGACCCATCCAAAATGGCGAGAAAACGATTACACTCCAGCTCCCAAAATCGCATCTATTTATATTTGTGGATCAACACATTCTTTAAAAACACTATTTGTTCCAACTGTTACACTTCGACAAATGTTTTGTTTGTTGGACACAACCACTGCAAACATGGAGTACACTTTCTATCGACGACACGTAACTCTGCAAAACACCGGCAGCACCGATGACGTCACTAACGTACCTGCCGTATTTAGGCATTAACGCGGGCAAAACACCGGCAGCACCGACGACGTCACTAACGTACCTGCCGTATTTAGGCATTAACGCGGGCAAACTACTAAATAAAACAAATTGACACGAATTTCAACATTAAGCTGTTTATGATTTAAGCTAAGTTCAATTATTTGAAAAGATAAATACAATGTCCCGCTCATTTTTTATTCCTTTTGAATGACAACAATTATATAATTACATTTTTCTCCTCATGACAAAAGTAATAAAACGAATCAATTCAGTATCCATTTTTTTGCTGCAATACTCACACAAGCGATCTGTGCGGCCTGCTTAGCAGCCTCTAATTCCTCCCGTGAAAAACGGGGAAATTTGGAAGGGGAAAAATTCGCCATTATCTACAACAAACACACAAAAGAATATCACAAATAGTACTAACTAATAAAACGAATGTGCAATAAATGAAACATCAGAGTAACGTACCTCGATCTGCCAATTTTAACTGTGTCTATTCAAATGACCGCGCCTAAAGCCCTCGCGAGATTTTATACAACCGCGCTCTCTCATAGGTACGCCTCCGTTTGACAGACCACCACATCTACAAATGAAATTAAACAATGACAGGAAGAACGGTGTCAAACTTTCCAGTTATCAAAATCACTTCCTGTACCTGGAAATTCAAAGTAAAACCTTTATAAAAGCTATGAAACAATATTATGAGGTCATATGCATTAGCTTTTTGAGAACTTGATGCATAAAAGCTACACTTTTCTACTCAAAATATCATACACAATTAATTACAATTGTCAATATTAATAAAAAACAAGCAGGAATAGTTAAGGCAACAAGGACTTTATTTTGAAATAATCCCGTTCAACATCGCTAGCGTACCTTTACTGACTGACATAATTTTGAAACGCATTATAAGATGGATCATTAAACAACTACACATGTTGCAAATGTGGCTATGCACCCGAGTTACTCCTATCATCACTACCCAGCTGTACATCTCTGACAAACATCATATCCAGCCTAATGTGGACGAAAAACGTATTGAATGAAAGGTGGGTGGTATGTAAAATCCAGTTACACTAATAATTATGTAATTAATACCTCTTAATAATACTTTGACATCATGTTTCAATTAAAACACTGTAATGATTAACTGAGCATTAAACATACATGTGATTTTTTCCCCATTTCTTTAAATTACAATGCTGTGTATGTTTTACACGTGATTTTTTACTAGAAAAAGGAATCAGCTGCAAAAATGATCATATCAGCACGCTGCAGGTTCCTACCCCATTTGCACATGCTAAAATGTGTGACAGTTATTTTATGTGAGTAATTTTATACTAGGATATCAGTCTACTGTACTTTGCCTTTTCTTGCAAGAACGCTTAATATATAGTCATTTCATTCTCCATGATAGAGCCTGACATTCAGCTTTTACAACATTCTACAGTACTCTCATATCTTGCATTAGAGTTTATTTGTACCGTTTTTAACGTACATCCATATAAAGGAGTTGATCCTTGCATATGACATTACCTTTAAAATGAAAAATGTACTAATATCAGTAATATATACACATTAAATAATACCAGAAGAATAACACACATGTCAAAATGTAGTCTGTAACCCGTGTGAACTTTTCATTTTGTCCTGTAGGCTGTTGGATGGTAACTCCACACAGGGGGCTGGCCCACCTATCAGATAGGAGGAATAAAGGAATCAGGTCAACAGCTCCTCACCACCAGATTGTATTCCTAAGTGGTAACATCCAGTCAGTTTATCTTTTTGAAACTTTACCCCTTCTTCATCTGCCTTTGTTCATTCCGTAGGATTGCAAAACTCCAGCAACTCATGATGCCTTGATAGCTACCATCCTCTCCTCCAGAACCACGTTTGAATCTGTTCCCTGGCTCCATGGATGGCCTCCCTTACTTAAATCATCTGGTCTTCAGTGCATGTCCTGTCCACACTCCAAATAAACACTGTAAGCTGTTTCCTAAATGCATCATCACCATTCTCTTATAGACTGTTGCTCATGTACACTTCCTGATTCCATATGGATCTTCTCACCTGCCCACAACTTTGCTTTCTCCACACTGAAATACATAATCTTTGCTACATGTAATAATGAAGACCCCAATGACAACAAGAAAATAAGGAACATTTGCATTACATAACCCTTTTGAAAACAAACATTTGTCAAATAACTTCTGTTAGCTATTATTTAATGAAGATTGTAGCCATGTTACACCTACTGAATATGATTTGATTTTCATGTTTCTGTTCAATTTCTGTATATTACACAAAATGTCAACTGTAATTACATCACAATACATCATTGATGTCAAATAACAGTGTTGTAAAATTAACATTTGTCTTTCTAACATTTTTAACCATTTAACCATCCTATGTCTATGGAATTACGAGCCTCACTTATGGTAATAACCATCACGATTAAACCCAGGTTTGTGTTGGTACCTGAGAATATCTCAAACAACAAGGACTCAATCACTACCAGAAATCACAACATTTATTCAGTTACAAACTAGGCTACACACAGGGAACAGTAAGGACACAACAAGCTCATCCAGATTTGTCATGTAGGGCTGCAGTCTTTTAACCCACATGAAAGAATCACACACGGAGAGAGAGCTGAGTAAAATAATACATGTTTTATTATAAATAAAAATAATAACAAAAAGCGCTGATCCAAACTGGGCCAGGGGGAGTATTCCAATTCTAAAATAGAAGATAACAAAATGAATACTGACAACCAGGCAAACACTGGAGTAATGGTGGCATAGTCTTACTGTGTGAAGTGGGGTTTTGAGCAGGAGAGGGAGGCAAGTCAGGTCTGAGCTGGAGATGGTCTGGTGGAGAGGAGTAGCAGGCAGTGAAGTAATCCAGGACAGGTGAGAGGTGGAGAGCGGGACACCAGAGGAGTTGAGCGGCGTTGGGTGAAAAATCCACTTCAGACAGCAGGAAGCTGAGGTAAGAATCCAGGGCTGGTACTGGAGCAGACAAGGAGAATAAAACTGAGCACGGGGGAGAAAAAACACGAGGCTAGATTTAAACAGGAACGAGGAGAGCTAGAGTACCCAACAATAGAGTATCAACCGGCGCTGACGTGTGGCAACACTGCTCCTTATATCCTCTGGCCTGGCTGATGGTCATCAGCTGCAGCTGTGGCTCTCCAACCTGCTCACCTGCAAACATTTACCCCTTCTTTCCACTGGAGCCGTCAGCAGCACCTTACTGCAGCAGCACGTCAAGCTGCTGCTTGGCCCTTCCCACGAGACGTGAAGCAGCAGGGGAGCAGCTGTCACCGACAGAGCACGAAGTCACACGAGTGACTTCGTCAGTAAACACAACAACAAGCAGGAGAAAACTACAACATGGCTCCAAAAGGTTTGTGCTTTATGTTCTGTCCATTTTATAATCGCCAATACGGACCTGAAAAACAAAGGAGACCGCTAGCTAGGTGATAACTTCTCACGGGGACGCACAGTTAGTAACCTTTTTTAAAGTAGAGCAACCGAAGGCAGTACGTTTCTTTATTCTGAAAATCTCGGGAGCTTCGCTACGTTTCCGCGTCCGATTTCCTGTCTTTCCTTCCCCAAAAATGTCGAACTTGACCCGTTTCAGAGGCGTCGCGAGTAGAAAATAGAACCGGCGCGTAAAGGCCACGACATGCTGCTCCTGAGACGCGGCCGACTCGCGCTGCTGACGGCTGCTGAAGGCTCCGGTGGAAAAGGTTCTGTTGACCACAGCGGTTCATATCAGCAGCTATGACGTGCTGCTGCAGTAACGTGCTGCTGACGGCTCCTGTGGAAAGAAGGGGTTAAGAACACAGCAGCAGAGGAAAAGCAGAGCCATGACAAGATCACAGTAAATCAACAGGTGTAAAAGGCCTCTACACCAAGCCTGAACAAGAGCACTGCAGCGCTGCAAACTCACTGTACACAGAACCACAAGACAGTACAGATGCTTGGGTCAGAGGCTGAAAACGGGGCAGATGAACAGTTTAACAGCTGAAATGGCAGAAATCAAACCTAACATGGATTACAACCTTGTATTGATTTTTTTAAATTTTCAACTTTCAGTGTCTGACTTTCAGGTGATATTGTCTGTCAATGTTCAGGTGTTTTTAGCTGCTGTGGTCTTCTGCAGAGCAATTCCTGTCCTGCTGCAGACAAAATACTTTCTTGCATTCTTAGCACATCCAGGGAGTGCTTTTTTGCACTGCGTGTACCTGGTTTACCCATGACGGGAAGCTGATAGCCAGGAGTTCTTCTGGGGATAAATCTGGGTGGCGTGGGTTGACAGTACCTGGGTTTCACTTTGTTGTCCAGGAGTCCAGTAGATGTGGAGCATCTCCAGCAAGATCCTTCCTCTGACACTGCCCATTGCTGGTGAATGGCTCATCAGAAGAATCTCTAAAATTAAAAATATATCAAATCATATAACATTTAAATTTTCAAGCAGTAAATACTGGTAAATGAAAACTGAATAAAATAAAATTAAACACAGAACTAAAGTTAAAAATATTTTTGAACTGTAGATAAACTTACTGCAGCTGTGATGGGAAATCATCTTCACTCGCACCTGAATCCTCAACCACAGATGTATATGGAGGTTTTGTTTTCCTGGAAGTAGCAGTAGTAGTATAATAGAATAGTAATAGTATTAGCACAAATACTGGACAACAAAAACTGGAACGTCTTTAGTGGAAATATTTAGTGCAGAGAAACTTACTGCGTTTGTGACGGAAAAACGATGAGGGCACATCTTGCTCCTCATCAACAGATCTTGAGGAACATTTCCTATTTCTAGAAGATTTCCTGATTTCTTTCATTATTTACAAAAACGAATCTAACATAAAACAATAAAAAGCCTCCGTGAAAAATGCATCTGAAAAAAAAAAATACGGGTGGTAAAACAAAAACAAACATGGCAAAAAATGTCACAAAAGTCTCAGTGTATGCTAAATTACTAAATGCAAACATAAAGTACGATACTTACCGAAAAGATTTATTATATCAGTATAAGAGAACAGTGGCGGCTGGTGAAAAATATTTTTGGTGGGGCTGTACTATTTTTTTTAACAAACTTATGCTTTCTGAGCTTTGTGCACAACTTCACTATTTCCTGAATTAAGCACAGCTCTTTTATTTCCTGTCTTACATCATTGGACAAAGGGATTAATCCACGTGTGTCTGACTATTGGCACGCTGCCTTGCGGACCAAGGCTGAAAAATACTGCATTAAATTGCACATAAAATAAGATGACCATATATGGTCCACATCCACATTACCGTTTGTGAAACTAACATACTGGAGAATTTCATCACAATAATATTAAATAAACAAGTATGTACCTGATCTTTTGCATGCTGTTGGTGAAGCTCTGGATGACCCCTGTGATGGAGACAGACTCAATGTTCCTCTTCTGCAGCTGGTTGAACAGCATGTCCACATGTGGCATGATCTTGTGACACAATGCCAGCAGAAAGCCGAAATCTTCTTCCTCCAGCATTCTCACAAATCCTCCTGCCTCTCTCTCAGTGACTGGATCAAAGTCATCCGAGTCTGATCATCTGGAAAAATCTGAGGAGGTCATCCTTGTGCTCATACACTGTGTTGACATCTCTCTCTTGGACAAAATGTGCCGGTTCTGATCCACTTCTTCATTGTGTTTATTCACTGCAAGCCTGCGTCCCTCGTCTCGAGCTGCATGGCTATGTTAGCTCTGCCTAGCATAGCTAGCTTCACCGTGTTGTCCATGTGCGCCCGGGATAACTCATGTTTCTTCACCTTCTCAGAAAAATGTTTCATGTTCGTAACTCCTGACTCAATCCATGCCTCATCTGTCACAGTCGTTTGGAAAGCAAAATAACGCATTAGCGTGATTGCATCCAGCTAGCCAAGCCTTCCCGAAGCCTCGTGTGTACAGTTTACCTCTCTCCTCCTCCTGCTGGCTTATCTTTACGTCGGGCTGATCTGGTCCAAGCTCTTTGATATTAAGTTTTTCCACCATAGTTCTCCTCTCGAACTGGAGAAGAGACCGAACTGAATTCAGTGGCTGCTGAGATCCGGTATCCATGCTGCTGCTGGTTGTAGGCGCACTGGCTTCCATGTTTATTCCGTATGCGTCACGACCGTCACGAGTCACGACCAAAAACGTGTTGGAGTAGATCTCCGAGTTCTACCGAGCACTAACGAAAGCCTTTGGCGGTAGCTCTATCGCCCGTCATGCTTCTGAAACAACGTCGACGCTGATTGGATACATTCCCATTCCTACCCTTTGATTTTCTTGTCAGCAATTGGACGACTGGTCTCGTCCCGTTTGGCCGATTGAAACACAACACACAGCCTCCACCGCTCGGCAGAGCTCGGCAGAGACCGGCAGAGACCAAAATAGAAATATATATATATATGATTTATTTTTGTTACAAAACACACAATTAACTTAGAATATGTGATTATTGTTAATTGTATTGATTTATTTTTTAAAATAAAAAGCCTTCTGGCTAATTCTTAGATTTAAAAGAATGGTGTTGATGCTCAAATTATTTTCAAATAAACAATTCTTTAGGATTCAACGGTGTTTGTATGTGTGTATTTTAGTTTGCATCTAATGTTGAAACTACAAAGATTTAATTAGTGCACAATCGAAATGTTTCTGACAATCACATACAAAGAAAATTTAAAATTTATTATTTAGTACAAAAAAACAGCAGATTTACATTTTTTTCGTACACTAATGCAAAATCAGTTTTACATATTCTAGCAAATGACACTAGCACTGTTTCTTGTCTGCATGGGATCATGGGAGTTGATAATTTTTGGTGTGTTTTTTTTGGGAACAACGCTCTTACAGAGGTTTGTTAGAGCAGCACACACAATCACATCTAGAATGTTGAGTTGTGACACAGGAATTACTGTTTGAAAAATCTTACATTTCTTCCAGCGTCCTATTACTCATTCAACGTGTATCCTGACACGAGACAGTTGTCTTGATGAGTCTACCTCCTGAGCAGAGAGTTGCTTTTTCCCTTTTGTGAAATGACGTATACGGAGAGTGGCTCCACAAGCGGCAAGTTCATCTCGGATTTGAAATCCTCTATCAGCTACAATCTCATCATTGTGTTCTAAAAGACCAACCCCAACTCTTTTGTTATTTGTTTGTCTGAAACCCTTACACCCCATCCAGGTGACAGAAAGGAAATTGCTCCAACTGGGGTGATGCCAATCAAATATTTAATTGTGTTGCTGTGTTTGTAATTTGACCATGTCTGGGCCCTAGCAGTTAGATTGCTAGGTCTAGCAATGAACATTTCTGTACGATCTGTTATGCACCGACATCGTTTGAAATTCCGTCTGAAAACTTTGGGCATGCTCTTTAGTACGGCTCCCTTACTTGGCCATTTAATGAGTGGTTTAAGTATTACAGACACGGCAGGTATCCAGCTTCGACAAATATTTGATATAGTTGTTTTAGAAACATTAAATCTGTATGCCAAATCCGTGTTGCTTAGACCCAGTGTTAATTTCATTAGTACAACCAATTGATGATCTTGAGCGGTTAGTTTTTGGCAAATTATCTCCACACTATCTGTTACTTTTGTTAGGAGCCAATCAAAGACAAGAGTTGTAAGTCCTGTGAAAAAAACAGTGCTCCCCTGTTGCACCTAATATTTGCATTGGAAAACGCTTAATTTGTCAGCTCCTCTTTAAGCTTGCAATTTTCTGCCTTAAGTTTTTCAAACTCCAGCTGCAGGTTGACATGGTTTTTATGAAGCACAGCATATCTTTGTTGTAGGCCATCTTATTCTCTCCTTGGAACAGGGAGGTCCTCTTCAGCTTTAACACAGAAATATGAAAAGTTATCAAATGCACCAACAAGTCCACACAAATATTTTTATTGTAACAGAAAATACAAAATCCTTACCGGCATGGTGAGCCAATGATGGTTGCTGATCTGTATTCTCTGAAGCAGCCAGCTGATTTGATGGCATGCAAGACGTTTCATCCCTTCTCCTTTTCCATTGATACCTTAATGTAACAGGTCTAAATTACTTAACAGTTACACAAGTCAAGAGCCAAGATATAACACTGAACATCATGAATAGCAAGAATTTCTTAATATTAAATATATCTGTGATGGGAAGGTGTAAACATTACCTGTCCATCTTTGCATGGGGGTTTGGACTTCGCTTTGTGTACGTAAACACAGAAGGCACAAAATCAGGACTCGAGGAGCCCAATGACACCTCGCCTGTAAATAAATAGACTGCTTAAAAGCAAACCAGCAAACACAACTTACTTTATTTTATAGAACACAAGTTAACCAGCTTTCTGGTGTAATCTTAGTACATAATTACCTTACCTGATATAAAATGGGCGCTACAAACTCGAGCATTTTGGATCGTGTTTTCAGTCCAGTTTTCATCAACCCTTTTGATGGCCTGCAGCCACAGACACCTCCGATTTTGTTGAAATGGATTTGCTCCCTTCGGAATTCTGTAAAGTTTCAGTCCACTGCTTGAGAAGCGATTCTGGCATCCATACACGCAACAACCCGACATTTTTATGTGCTCAGAACTTCAAAACAAAGGGTTTAAAATGCTGTTTTAGTATCGAGTGTGAATGAGGAACCCTTCACTCTCGTTGCCAGGCTGCGCACGCAACTTTTTATGACGTAAGTAGTAAAAGGGTCTATAGACATGATTATGTAGACGCCACATTTGACGCTGGAGAACGTAAAAACAACGCCGCCATATTGGATGGGTCTCCTCACTCTCCAAAATCAAAGCAGACTGAGCAGCAATGCCCGTTTATGTGCAGCCGTTGGTTACAACAACCGTTGTACTATTGACAAAATATCATATGAGATTACTACTTGCTTTTCTACCCTATCAGTTAGATATTTCTATTAAAAATTATTACATATCGTGGTTAAACACATTTATATTTTAATTATAATACCATACCTTGTGTCTATATTTTAATTGTCATGCCATACCTTGTGTCTGCTTTTGTGAAAAAGCTTCATAAAATGTGTTTTTTAACTTGGGTCAGCACCTTCCTCAGCATGTACAGGGGCAAATGGAGAAACATCTCAAATGGCAACCAGCCACTACAACATCTCCAATAGGCGGCACCAGTCCATTGGGCATCTATGTATATATATATATCTATGGTCTACTAAGCCTAAACCCTCCTCCTCACTCCAGATGTCTTAACCTAGATTAACACTGATTCTGCACAAATAAAAGCTCAACAATGGTCAATCCCCATACCCAATAAAATGCAAAATAAAGATAAAAGAACACTTAGCTCTATTTGATGTTCAATACACCATCCCCACATCTAAGCTTTCTTAGCTTGGCTCCAAGTGGCACGATCCACTGGCTCAGGACAGTGACATCTTCCATACATGGCATTATGTTCCCCCACAACTGGAAACAGAGGGTCTCTCCTAAAATTCATATTCACTATCCATGTTGCCTTCCTATAACAGGAACCTGACCCTACAGCCTCTAGCTTTCTTCCCAACCTTAAATAGCAAACTGACATCACAAGACCCCACCACTGAGTACTACAATAGTTGCTTGGCTAGGCTACATCCTACTTCACTTCACCTAATCTGCTCTCCAGACATATCTGCACTTAATATGGCCCTTCCCTTATCCTGTCCACACCAGACATTTCAGCTGCACAGCTACAGTCACTTACATCATCAAAATTCACTCTTGAGTCCTCTATAAAATAGGTTAATATTCATTTAAACATTAATTTGGCCACAGTTAAGCTCAACTCCCCTTTTCTTATGTGATGAGGAGGAGAGGATGAGGCCTTCAAGTGGAAAAGCTAATAATGCCACACTGCCCTTTTCAAACCACAACAGCCATACCCTCTCCTGGTCCTGGAAAAGCAGTAGCTAGCATGTTTTAGTTTTAACTGTGCTTCAACACACCTTATTTCAATCAGCAGGTGATTTACAGGCTTTTGAAAAACCTGATGACCTTCTGCTCAATGATTCAACAACAGAATTAGCTGTGTTGGAGTACAGAAACATGGATGATAACTTTGGAAGATAACCACAGGAGGGAGGACTTTTCCATGACTGAGCTTGATTGCAGATTTGCAGCTTGACATGTCCTGTTTGTCCCCTCTGACTGGTATCTGTTGAAAAAAGCATAACATCTCAACTAATCACAGTTTTTAAAATGTAACATACAAAAGACATAATGAGCTTGTATAGTGCTATGATGGAGAATCCTATGAATTAATTTCTAATGTCAACTGAGTTTATACAACCTTGTTGATTCACCTTTCAGCCCACTGTAAAATAAAACTAAACCAGCTACTACATACATTTAAATAAAACTGATTCTGGTTTAACCTACGTTCATTAGTATTTCTGTGTGAGACAAATGTGAGAAACGAAATAACAAAAAAACAAGTTATGAAGAGGGATGGATCACGCCTCTAGTACATGAGCTCGCCCACAATAATGACATAGGATCTGGGTGCCGGCAAAAAATACAGATAAGACATGAAGCATGTTTACAGTATCTGAAGTCCATTCAGTAAGTCCCTACATGTTACCAGATCACGTCACACATATTGATGATGTTAGCACAACACAGATTTATTGGGTTGAAACTTACACTAATGATTATTTTATAGAACAACACTCATTGGACCAACTTGTGGTGCAATTGCCATTTATTAAATTGCAAACTGATAAGCTGTGCTGAGGTCAGAATGGCATTATACTTGGCTTGTGACATCACGTGACTTCACCAAACACATTGATGTGGTTGTTGGTTCAAATCCCTGTAGCTCCACCCATTTTAGCTCACTGTCTCTAGAAAGAACACACAACGTCTGATTGATGCCAAAATAACAGAAAACGATCTTTGTCAACCAAAGCTGACCTCAATGGGATTATTCTGTGATTGGTCACAATGCCCCCTGGATAAATTTAGCCTACTATAACTTCAAAAATCATGATCAGAAAAGCATTAAAGGTGGTCTGTGTCATCACACCACCAGTGAGATAAAGATAGAGCATGCCCTAGTGGTGAGATGTGTAATTTAATGGTGGGCTCAGAGAGGATGCTGAGGCTGGGTGAAGTGCAGACGAGGTGACCATTAGTGGTTACTTTTTGTCGGGGTGGTCAACGTTTCTGTTCCGCGGACGTGCCCTGGCGCCCCGGGCTGCGGGCCAAGCCGGAGCGGCGCGGAGCTGCGAGGGCCGAACGACGCTGCTTGCAGCTTTAATTAGGCCCGAGCAGCGAAAGCGCTGCGAAGGCCTCTTGTTTTTGCTCTGTTTATTCTTTTTTATTTATTATTCTTAGCCCGCTTTGAATGGCCTTTTGGGGACCTTATCATTCCCCAAAACTCAC